TACGACCAAAACTGATTCTCCCGACCAGCAGCAACCATCACGGGACTAAAAACGCCGCCAAACACCAAAGCTTGCCTCACCATTGCAATCGCCGAGTTCCTCACACACGTCGGAAACAGCTCAATCGTGTATATAAGCGTTATGTTAAACGCGGTGCATGTGCTGAAAAACGAAACCAGCTCTAACACAATCTGTAGTGACCCTATTTGTTGACCTATCACAGCTATTAAAATGCTAGAGATTCCGCTTAGAGCCGTGAATCCGATCAACGCGTCTCTTCTATTGATTTTATCAATGAAGAAAAACGTTAGCAAAAACGCTGGAAATTCAGACAAGGCGTTAAAGACAACACCTAAGTAAAGGTTGAAGTTTAGATTCACTAAAGCTAACGGCATTCCGTAGTAAACCATACCAATACCGAATCCGACCGCCATAACCGCTAATAATCTCCTAAGCGACCAAGGTTTCCTCACCAATATCTTTAAGGCGTTGTAAACATCAGGGTTTGACTTTGATCCATCCTCTTGTACATCCAAACATAAGTTCGAGAAGCTCATAGTGATTGCATTAGAAGCAATGCTTTGGAGAATCGAGACTGCTTCTTCTTTACGACCTTTTACGAGAAGCCATCTAGGAGACTCCTGCACGAAAAGCCGGACTAAACTGCAATAGATTAAAGTCGGTATGGATGTCCAAACGTAGAGATACCTCCAAGAATTCCCATTATTGATGTAACCTAATATGGGAAGCGATAAAAACCCTAACGTGAAGCAGAAGAAACCCATCGCACCCACTCGTCCTCTCCACTTTTTACCAACTAACTCCGTCGATAGAACGAGCGCGCAAGTCCCAACCGTGGCTCGGCCAAACCCGTTCACGAATCTCAAGAACGCGTAAACCCAAATGCTCGTTGAGAAAGCTGTTAACATCGAAGACAGAGACATTATAAGACATGACAACAAGAGCATGTTTTTACGACCGAGCGATGAGTCCGCGAGGGTAGACAGAGCTAAGCCGCCGATTAGACAACCGAGGAAGAAGGAGCTTGCAGGCAAACCCTTGAGGAGCGAACTGGCGCATTGTAGGCCCCACTCGGATATGATTGAGACATGTGAGTTGAAGTCCCAAGACCATGTTTGGTTGGGTAAGGTGCAGAGGTCGGAGGACGAGTTGCAGACTGAGTCGACACAGTGCCACGTAGGTTGTGAGTCGGTAAAGACGGTGATGAATGTTTGCTGAGCGTCGAAGACCCAGGCGAATGAGACTAAAGCGGCTTGAAGAAACTGTGCCCACCCGAAGTTTCCAATGCACTGCTCTATCTTCCCGTCTAGTGATTTTGGTGGAGGAAGCTTTGACTCGTTGGACGAATTGGAATCCGAGAGAAGAGGCTGAATCGAGTCGGCCATATAGAAGCAGAGTAGGGTTTTGTTTTGTTCCTTTAATTTGATATTTGATATGATTTGCATTAGCATGAATCTTTTTTATTCTATATATATAGAGATAAACCACAACTTGTGTGTGCATTTAAACTAAGAAAATAATTACTTCCTTCCATAGAAGTTTTTGTTTTTTTGCTAAACAAAATACAAGTGCAGTGCAATGGTTTTTGTTTTTTTTTGCTAAACAAGTGCATTGCAAATGGTTTTGTCCTGGTTGCTAG